CTTTCTTACCAATGAAGAAGTTTATCTCGGCTAGGCGTCTCACACTCTTCTGGTCTCACACTCTTCATCCTTTTAAAAATGGTTAAAGACTCAAAAACGCTTTTGTTATGAAGCCAGTTTATATCTGTTGTCATTTACTGGCTTAAAAATCAAAACCAAGCAAAAATATTTACCTTTTAATTCGTTTAAGAATAATAAACTAATTACATGTTGATGTAATTCACATTTGAATGAAAAATGTTTTCCAAACACTTTAATGGGAAGAGAGGCATAGTTTATTGTTTTGCAAATTTCTTTGACATCTAACTTAACAAAAAATAGGTTCTTCTTTATTTACTTATCTATTTATTTTATTTTATTTCAGTCTGTTTGAGGCAGGGTCTCCCTGTGCAGTTCAGGCTGGCCTTGAGTTCACTTTGTAACCCAGGCCAGTCTTGAACTCACAATGATCCTCCTGGCTCAGCCTCCCAAGCGCTGGGATTACAGGCATGCACTGCAATGCCTGGTTAATAACCAGATTCTCATACATGCTTTCTATTTCATTCTGTTGTGATGTGTTACTTTGGTTGAACTCCGGCCTCACTCAGATACACAGCTGTGAAGGACAGAGGTATTTTGATGGCCATTTCAGGCAATTATGAATATCCTGTGATACTGCATCCAAACTTCCTAAGTACAGTTTCTGAGTAATTGGCTGAAACATGGAATCTGAAATCAAGTCAATAGATTTTTGTATTTTGTGACTTCAAAATTCACCGGTCCATCTTGCGTCCTGAATTGAGTTTGTTTTTAATCTCATGAATAGTTTTTGATGCTGTGTCACAATCTTTATTTTCAAGAGGAAACTAAATAAAAATCTCTGCTTAGTGGCAAAAAATAAAAGTCAGTACTAGAAAAGTAGGTGTGGCATAAAAGAGCAAGGTGATACAGGTAGCATCAGGGATCATGATGGGAGAACAAGCCTGGAGATGAGGCTAAAGAACACCTGAAAGACTGTAAAAAGAAAACCAAGACTTTAATCTTTTAAAAATCAGCACTTACAGCCCCATGTCCAAGTGTTCAATAAGAGGATCCCATTGAACTACACTCTCAGAACAGTCGGTGAAGTAGGATTTTTTCTGTCTCACAAAAGAGAGGTAAGGTACTTGCGATCAAAGAACTAGGAAATATAGGACAGGAACCAGGCACTTCTGAGATGGCAATTTGTGATTGTTTTCTTTAAAATGATTTTTAAAATTCCAAACAAATACAAACTTTTTCATAAAACAACCCCCCCCCAAAAAAAGGAAGGTAAAAGCCTCTCCTCCTTGTTCTTCACTCTTTTCCCTGTACGCTGTGGTGAGTTAGTAGCAGCCAATACACATACTTTATTTTTACCCAACAAAAGCCCCTGCTCTTAGGCTCTTCATGGTCCTGCCTACCACAGACAATGAGGGATCCCAGAGCAGATCCCAAACTCTCTTGGTGTTGGGAGAACCACCAAAGGAGCAGGATAAATGAGCTGAGACAACTGACCACCGAGGACTAATCACGTTTCCGTGACTGTGCGTGGATTCCTTCCTTGCTACTTCCCAGACCTTCTTAAGACTAGTGGGTTTGAAGAATTTCTGTGGATCACTTTTCACTGTTGTGAGAGAAAGAAGAAAAACTCCACAAAAATCAAACACCACGGTGATGGAGATGGATGGTGAGGGGTTTGTGAGAAGATGCGAACCCCTTGGCTGCCCTCCAGCGGTTTGAGATGCAAAGTTGCTACCAATAGGAGTCCGGGCAAGTGCTCAGAAACAAGGGAAGCCAATCCCGTGCCTTAGAGGCTTTCTCCACAGTTAGACACTTGACAGTGAGAAGTCTACTGTGAATTTACCTAGCCTAGCCCTTCCCACTGTGAGTTAAGTAACTTTCTGAATTGTAATTTCTAATATTTCCCAGAAGTATCAACCAAAATTATCTACTTATTACCTCCTAGAATAGAATGTGTTTCTCTTGGTTGTTTCCTTTTTATGGGCAGGGATGTGCTTATTATTTTGTTTTTAATTTTTTGAAGCATTTATTAACAGGAGTTTAAATGCCTTTGCAAATCACAGGCATCTCTCTTACTCTTTGTGGAAGCAGTCACCAGACTACCGTGAGGCTGGAGTTGAAGCTCAGTGCAGAAGAATATGTGGACGACCAACTCAGCATCCACGACCGAGAGAAACGCCTAAGTGTTTCAAGATTACAGAGCCGAAAAAATTTCTTTCTAAAATATTCATCTTAGGAAGTGTCTGTGGAAGGGGATTTTTTGTTCTCTTTGGTTGAGTCAGAATCACTAATAATGATGCTGGGTCCCTCAGAAAGCCCCCTGAAGAGTTTGTCACTGTTCTCATTTTGTTTGTTATTCAGTGCTTGTTACATTCTTAGACTTTCTTCGCCCTGTATCCCTCCTCTCACAGCAGCACAAGCGGAGTGATGAAACCTCCAGCAAATGCTTACTTCTCCTTTCCTCTCAACCCCTGCCCCGTTTCTGCCCGGTTCCCAGCCTCAGATAGATCTCACTTCTCCAACTCAAATTCCTAAGGGAAAACGAGCAGCCGATCAGTTCGCGAGGGCTTTTGGATGCTTTGGGCGGCTCCAGAGCACACGGCAGGCGTGCCAGGTACAGCCAAGTGTGTTTTAAGACACTTCAGGCTGTCCCGATAGCAACCTTTGCCCGGAAACTCCCGCAATTTATACTCATTGCTCCAGACTTACTAGAAACTGGCCATTTTCCCTTTTTACAAAAGTAACGTAAGTCTTAGCACTAGACAGTTTATGAAATCATGGAGCAGAGAAATTCTGAGAAAATATTTTTTCTTTTTTGTTGGAGAAGTAAAATTATAGGTTTATAAAGTGGCCATAAAAATAAGCTTGCAGGGCACAAAATCAGTACTTTGTACATATGGGACTCAGTGACTTCCACCTGGGAGGGAGGGAGGGAGGAAGAGGCAGAAAATCTGTGCCTCTGCCCCTGAAATGCCCAAGGGAATAGAATTATAAAAACAAACGCTTTAAGTCTCATTCTTTTATTTATGAAAATTTTCGCCAATATTTTCTCATTTATCCCAACACGTGTTCTAATTTCTATTGACTATAAATGTAGCTGTTTTCTCAGGGTTTTCTTTCTCTGTTTTTCTGATTGTCTGTTCTTTGGGGACACTTCTTTTTTACAGTGTGATCCTGTTATCTTGAAACCGGACCCAGTCTTTTTTCTGTTTATTTTTGAAATGGGATCTCACTACACGGCTCAGGCTGGCCTCAAACGATAAGTCCTGCGCCATCAGCCTCCCAGGCAGCTGAGATGAAGGCAGGGGCCACTGTGCTGAGCTTTGGGCTCAGTCTTAAAATAAGCTTGCAGGGTACAGTCTTAGTACTTTGCAAAAACCTGTGAGACTCAGTGAATTGCAATGTCCTCCTTTGCCTAGGCGTTTCCTCTGGATGCCTCTGGGTGTCCCTTAGTAGCCAGCATTGAGTGGCCCTGCTCACTGAAAGTTAGCAGGTTTGCTTGAATATGCTATGGCAGTGGGGGTAAGCCTCCCGCCAGTGTGCTACAGTGGACTGTGTGTGTCCCTGAAAACTAAAAGGTTCATCATCCTTGTGCCGTGGTATTTATTCCTGAGGCAATCTTCCAGGTAGGCTGATATCGGTCCACTACAGGTGAGAAAACTGAGGCTGAGGGGGTTCACGATCTTGCCCTGTGGGGTGGCATAGCCTCAGTGTCAAGCAGGATTTTTTAGACATTCTTGTTTTCTATAGCCAACATACTGACCTCCCTCCTCCCCTTCATCAGCAGACCTAATTTGTTGGAGGATTTGGAGATGACCTTGATTAAGGTCTGGCCTTCAGCAGACTCCACCCTCAAGGCGCTGGACATTCAGATCTCAAAACGGAAGTTCCTTTGATCATGTGAGGTTTTCCTAGCACTAGTTACGGTACTTCCGGCTCCCTTTCGCCAGAAAGCTCCTGATGCCACACAGTGCAATGTAATTCCCACCTCCTGCTCCCAGCGGGCATCTGGCAGCTGAAGACTGGGTCCCAGGGACTGGGTTCTCCCTGGGTTCTAAATAAAGGCTCGAGAAAATGGTGTCTGAAGGCAGCGCTCTGGAGCTTGGATTCTGTTTAATCCAAACCAGGAAGTCCTGCACCCCACCGCCCTCTCACCTCCTGACACAAATCCAGATGCGTTTTCTTTGGTCAAGAAAACTGCTCTTTGACTTTATGAAATAGCAGGCAGAACCCCAGATTGGGGCCGTTGTTTGAGTAGTTTTAGCCTTCACTCTTTTCTAAATGTTCAAAAGGATCGCTTTTAAAGAGATCAACCTTTTAAAAATTGTTATGGATTTTTTCCAAGTTATTGCAGTAAAAATGGAAAAAAATAACATGGAAAATTAAGTAGTGTATGTTAAAAAACGCCAAATCGTTTTTTGTTTTTTTCTTTAAAAAAAAAAAAAGGATTTCTGCTGAAATACAAATTGTTTTCCTACAGCTATTTTCTGCCTTAGACTTCGGGTCCCGGGAGTTTGGAGGGTGGAGTGAAGGGATTCTTAAACCACTTTTAACTGTGAACACTGGGATGTACTTTAGGCTGGGAAAAGCATTCTGTGCGTGCGTGCGTGCGTGCGTGTGTGTGTGTGTGTGTGTGTGTGTGTGTGTGAGAGAGAGAGAGAGAGAGAGAGAGAGAGAGAGAGAGATATGAACCTGTATCAGCTTTACAACTGCATGACTCTCCGGGAAGTCCTGGGTCTCAAAAACCTCTCAGGGGCTTTATCAGCACTCCAGTTCCTGCTTACCCAGAATGCCTATGGCGAGGAGAATAACTACAGAGACGAACGAGCAAACGTGAATATGACTGTCCCAGAAACAAGGAGCTAATGCCCTGAGCGGAAACCAGCCCCTTTCATCCTAACTTTCAGCCCCAGCTCTCAGTAAAGGGAAACAAAGACCACATTCTGATGCCCCCGGGGACACACAGTCTTCACAACGAGTTTTATTGTTCATAAAAAAATAAATTTATTTACATATGTTAATGACTGTGGAAGCGCAGCCTCAGCAGCGGTGCTGTCCCTAAGCACTGCAAGTGAGGTGGCGGCAGCCGGAGCTCCGGCCGCCTGCCGTGCAGGGCAGAACTTGAGCGCAGAAAGGCAGTGGGTGCGGAAGGCAGCGCTGGGGATGGGGCGGCCAGAGCTCGGAGGAGGAAAGCCTGCGGAGAAAACTTGGGGTGCGAGGGGAGGGAAGTGCAGTCGGCCGCCAGAGCGGGGAGGCTGCAGGGAGCTGTTGGGACAGCGCGCGAGGAGGCTCTGCTTCGAGGAGGGGTGGACGGCGGTGCAGAGAGGAAGGAGGGCGCTTGCAAAGGAGACTTCAGCCAGGGGAGAGCGCCGGCCGGACTGCAGCAAGACGGCGACAGCTCACAGGCAGGGCGAAGCCAGCCTGGCCGGGCCCCAGGGACGCCCCACTGCCGCGTGGAGAGCCAGAGCTGCCGGCCGGGCGGGTGGAAAGCTGGCCCAGCGATGCCACTTTCCTTTCCTGGTGACTTGAAACATCCCCGAAGTGGACCTCACACCAACACGCTGTCTTTCAAGAGGGTCCACAGCGAGCTCTATTTTCTAAAACCTGGAGGCCCGCGCTGTGCGGGAATCGGCCACGACGTGACACGCACGGTACATCTGACGCCCCTGGAAGCTAACCCTAACCCTCGGGCCTAGGTGCTGCGGCGCTGGGCTCAGCGGGCAGCCGGGGGTACATCGCCGAAGACCACCGTGGATTCTGGGTTTGCGGCGCGCTCCGCACTAAGAAGGCTCCTTCCAGCGCTGTGGCCCCGACCCGGGCACCTCCACTGTCCAGCTCCCAGGTCCGGGGAAGGGGGCCCCGGAGGATCCAGAGGAACTTTCTACCCGTCCTCTGGTGTTCTCGCTCTCGCGGCCCTCAAAACTTTGGTTTAACAAATAATCCCATCAGGTGAGTTCGGTCCTATCTAAGCGGTGGTTCCACATAATCTGCTTGCTGCGGAAACGTCTTTGGTGTCAGAGTCCGGGCGTCCTGAGACCACGAACGGCCACGTCTGTAAAATCGAAAAGAGAGTCAGACACTGCCGAGAAACCACGTCTCAAACAGAAACCGGTCTCTTAGGTGATCTCCAGAAATCTCTAGCTCAGCTCTTATCAGTATTGTGGAAATCTGTGTATTTTGTCTCTAGTCTGAGGTTGTGACCTTACTGGATACTATTATGGCAGACATTCAATGTCGGCTCACGAGGACGCGGTAAAACTTTGAGATCTCATCGTTTGTTTAATCCCTCAGCATGAGAGAGGGAGAGACAGAGAGACAGACAGACAGAGAGACAGACAGACAGACAGACACACACACACACACACACACACACACACACACAGAGAGAGAGAGAGACAGAGACAGAGAGAGCTTTCCAAGCAGGGACTTCTACACGCTGGGATGTGATCTGTCTTTCCCAATCCTGGAGAGCTGGTAAGTCAGACAGGGGCTTTCCAGACAATTTGGAATGTGGAAACTGGGCTACTCACACCCATTTTAAAAAATCCAAAAACTCTTTCAGAGCTCAGCTTTCTCTCCTTTAAAGACAGTAAGGGTTGCTGGTTCAAACCTGCCAGGCTCTTTCTTGGAAAACGCTGGGCCAGTGAGATTTGTTATACAGTCTGCAGCGGGTGGTAAACTCAGTTGGAACTAAGATTTATGCTGGAAGTAGGACGTTAGCTAACTGCCGTCAGTAGGCGAAACACCATGCACACGATCAGAATCATGCGAGGGTCGGACCCTCTCCACACGAAGTGGGGAAACTACACTGGGATTCCGTCACCCGTCCCACAGATCTCCCCATGTCCTCCTTCTAGCAGGCCGCCCCCGCCCGGCGCCCGGAGCGCTCGCGGCACTTCCTGGCCCCTCGCCCCGTAGCCGCGCCGTCTCCCTACCAGGTTCACTGGGTGCACGTAGCCGTTTTCGTAGCGGTCCTCCTGCAGCAGCTGCCGCAGGTGCGCGATGTAACTGGAAGCCAGCCGCAGCGTGTCCAGTTTGGACAGCTTGGTGTCAGGAGGGACCCAGGGGAGGCTGGTCTTCAGCCTGGAGAAGGCTTTGCTCAGCACGCGCATCCGGGCGCGCTCGCGGGCGTTGGCCGCGTTCCGCTGGGACTGCTTGCACTCTGCGGCCGAGCCCTTGGGCAGGAGAGGCTTTTTACTGCAGCCAGCGGCCCCGCCACCTGCGCAGCCGCCCGCGGCCACACGAGGCCGCTTCTTCTTGCACCCCGCGAGGTCGCGGGCGGCGCCCAGGGCGCAGCGCTCGTCCTCGCCGTCGGGGTCCTCCTCCTCCGCCGAGGAGTTGTCGCTGGGCGAGGCGTAGCAGCGCTCCGCGCCGCCGAGGGGCTGCCTCTTGGAGGGGGCGGGCGCCGGGAAGCCGCGCTGCAGCCCCCGCAGCTCCATGTCTTCGGGGTCGCTCACCGAGCCGGTGGACATCTCTCCGCGCCCCGCGCCCGCG